CTAATCTGTCCTTGTCGTGATAAAACTCTTCCTCTTACCAAGTTCGGATCGTTTTTTAATCCAACCCATATTCATCGTGCTAGATAGCATCAGCTTGAAAGGCAATATGCTCTTCCCGTCGCACTAAACTCGATCTGTAGGCCGTTCGTGCCTGGCGTGAGTTTTACTATACTCTTTTTAAGCCTTTTCGTCAAAAGTTTTCCACAAGATATTAGATTTATTCCTGATGACTTCTTATCAATAGTATTAAGTCGCTATATTTTAGTGGATTTTCGCGCATACATCATTCGACAGGATCAACACTAGGCCGAATGCAATCATGTTGAATTCAATTGGTAAGCTTTCCTCCTCTGGTCCGTTATGTTTCGTCAAAAAACTCAAACTTTTTCAATGCAGAGTTTTGCGGCCCTTTTTCAGTATTTGACTGAATTTCATGCGGGGTTTTAAACGTTCAAGTCCACTGTAAAAATTTTTTTAAGTATTTAGACAGGTAAAGCGAAAGATCGCTTTTTATTGGCATAAAGCCAAATGTACGCCATTTTCAAAATGAAATTTTTTTATATTAATTTTGGTTTTTTTAGCTTTTTTTTTTATATCACAATAACTTTTATTTAAAACTAAGAGTTTCTAACTTCAAACGCTAGTTGTTGACAACAAGTAACATTTGGCTTGAACTTGGAAGCCTTTAAGTTGGCTATACGCATTAGCCATCAGGTTGTCTGTATTCTACTTTTTAATGAAAATAGTAAACTGAATCTGAGATTCTGCCAAATTTATCTATTTATCCCCTAATGAAAGGCGAGCTGATCAAAATTCTTATTACTTTCCAGATTAGTTAAATAATTTATCGAAGCAGCTTGAAAATGACGCCGACGGTCTTGTTAGTCTTGGGAGGAAAAACAACTACAACATTTTCACAATTCGTTTACACAAAAAAAATTTTGTCACAGAGTATGAACATTCTGATAGAAGTCCAATGGCTAGACCGAAATGTCCCGACGGCTTTGTTGAACAAAACAGAAAAAGCAAACGACATTAAAAAGAAATTTAATTTCTTTTCTTAAGCTTTCTGCGATATAAAAAGAAAGTTAAATAAATAAATTATCTTATTGTTAATTGTGCAGCGAGGATACGCTTCATGTTGTTTCGCTGAATAATGAAACCGGCTGGTGTCGTTCCGTTAACTTCTCGCAAGATCGTTTGTCACGTGTAGTCACAGCTTTAATGTCATTTTCTGATTGCTCTACAAAACTTCTAATCAATATTTATTTAAGTTCATTCACTTCAATTATTGACTTATTGACTTTTAAAGTTTTCTCTTTCCTTTAAGATTCCTCTGCCTTTTTTTTTCTTTTGTAAATGTATTTATAGGCGGGTGTTGTTGAGTTTGGAAATTTATTAGTAAATTTTACATTATAACAATTATGAAGAATTCTAGCATAAGCAATAAGAATTAAGAATTATCGACTCTTGTTTTTTTTAAAGGTCGACTTGTCGCTTTGATAAAGTTAAAAATTTTTGTTGACATAAATTCTGTAGGCATTCTCAAGATGTCTGTAGGGTTAGAACTGAAAAGTCTCCAAGTTAAATTGCACTTTGGTCTTCGTGGTCGTGGTGGATGCAAAAACATGCACAAAAAGATCGACAAACAATATTTAAATATTTACAAAAAAAAATAAAACTTTCTGCTCATGGATCAGATATATTATCTAAATTTGAATGAAAAGTTTCGTTACAGATGAAACTGTTAAAGATCACGTTCAAGATTTGTCAAATCCTTCGTATGATTTTTGGCACTTGCACAAAAAGAATAAAAAAAATAAATAAATAAATATTCTCTTAGTAAAGTTGGGTTTTTTTGAAAAGAGAAATTCCGCAATTAAATCGTGGCTAGGAATAAAAACATTTGTCTCTTGTCAACACCTTATAAAAATGGTTAAACAGGCATCGATAACAACTCTGCAGCCAAATGTAAAAATGATCTTGAAATGAATTAAAGAATGCTCGAGAAACATACATATTCATGCATGTTGTGCTGATGATGATGATGATGATGATGATAATGATGATGATGATCTTCGCTTATGATGTAGTGAACACTTGCGTACCAAATAATTGGTAAAAATAATCGAATCGAGTGGAGAGTACACTTAATTACTTGTATTTGCTGTATGGCTAAAAAGGAAGTACGTGGAAATTCCAAAACACAAAACTAGCAGTTAGAATTTCTTGAGAACTCATAATTATAAAAACACTAAACAAGTTGTTAAACTTGAGAATAATTATACATGAATAAATGTGTATGTATGTATGTATGTGTGTGTGTGTGTGTGTTTTTGCACGCCAATGAACAGCCCGGCCAACACATACTACCATAGCATACGATCATAGCCAAGTCTAGACGTGGCGATTCGCGGGACAGTGAAAGGAGTTAAATAGAGTTTAAGTATAAGGCTGCTTGCATTGCTCCAGCAACGCATTTAAGACTCATTAATGTGGCGACATTAGTAAAATAGGAAAATCGACAATGCATCGTTTTATTTATTTATTTTTATTTATTTTTATTTTTTTTTTTTCTTCATTTTTTTAATTTTTTTTTTTTTTTTTTTTTTTTTTTTTTTTTT